TCATTGGAAAACGTGAGACAAAGAAAGCGCAGTGAGACGGTTTCGTGAAGTTGAGCACCAACCATGCTGATAGGAGGCAAGGAGGATTTTTTTCTGGTGGTTAAATGATAGCAGCAGCCAGGTTAACTTTGTCAGCGATGCCGGAATTACTACTGAGACAGGAGTAAATGGTTGTGTCATCCGTGTAGATGCCTACTTGAGGACTGATGACATCAGGAAGATCATTGATGAAGATGTAGGACAGGATAGAGCCTTGTAGAACACTAGCGACTAGGAACTGTAACAGAACCCGTTCATTTCACGGTTACTATTGAAATGTTGACATAATATGAAGTAAATAGTGAAGTTTGTATACAAATAGTTAATAAATATCTATATGGGCCTCATTCATTGTATTTAATATTAATAAAACTATTAATATCATTAAAAGAACGTTAATAATAGCATTAATACGTAACAAAAAACTTAGTTGCTAAGTTCTAAGTTTTTCGTAATGTCTTTTTGAAATTTTTGAAAGACCTTTTGGACATCCTATATTTATACACACACACACACACACACACACACACACACATATATATATATATATATATATATATATATATATATATAATACCCTGGTATTGCTTACAGATTCATGATCTTTCATGAGGCATCACAAAAATATGCAGAACTGAAGAGAGGGGTTCGGAAGGGATCCCCGAATTGCCATGTGCCCAATGCAATCGGATATGTCTGTCCAAGGAGGGTCTGCTCAGTCACTAGCGGTCACACCAACACCAACAGTATATGACGATTTGTTAATGGCGTGCTTTGAATGCCAGGCCTGCACTAAGGTGTTCAAGTCCAGATCGGGCTTGACAAGGCACATGAAAGGGCACATCGGAAGTGAACATGATCAATATTTCCTTCCACCATCCGGAGATGATACGATATGCCACATATATGACAAGATATGCAAATCGATGATTGGCTTTATGAACCACTGTCGTTCACACAACAGATGAATGCAGTGTTGTGAGTGAGTTTAAATGAAGAACTAGACATGTCAATGATGGTCATACTCGTCTTGCGAGTCGACAGCCACCATATATATATATATATATATATATATATATATATATATATATATATGTGTGTGTGTGTGTGTGTGTGTGTGTGTGTGTGTCTAATGGATTCTCCTAACGATTTTGACATATGAGGGACAAATTATTCATTGTTATAAAAGACAGGCTGAATTATTTGGCTACTCTCACACGATTATATTTTATAGTGAAGTTCACCCCGTACAAAGATCAGGAGCCACTCAATATAGAAGGTTACAGGATATGGGGCGTGATACCAATATAAGAAGAGGAAATAGGAAGTCGTGATTATGAGCATAAAGAGGATAGTTAACAATTAACCCTAAAGAGGTTACCAAAACTTCATATAGTCATTTATTAAGTGTAGCTTAGATATGGCAGAAGACCGAAATTATGGAGCACCAAGTAAGCATCGGACTCACTACTCAGTAGTGATTGATCTAGTGAAAGAAGCTTGTTAACCATTAAACTACACCGAAGTGCACACCATAATTTCATATAACACATTTCAAGTTTGAAGTTCATATGTGACAAGTGAGACAAAATATCGCCAAACATTCTTCCTTGATCCAGATCATACGACATAACTACAAAGTCTTCGTTAAGGATCACAAAAATTGGACAATGGGAGATTGGAAAAACGATTCCCTGTCTGAGGAGTCTTGATTTCTTCTGCGACATTCGCATGGTAGGGCCAAAAGATGGTGTAAACAACATGAAAGTATGAATCCAATTTGCCTTTAGCAACCGTTCAGGTTGGTGATGTGGGGAATATTTTCGTGGATTACATTGGGACACTTTCTACCAATTAAAGAGCATTTAAATGCTGCAACCTACATAGGTATCGTAGTTGACAACTACGTTTATATGTACGGTACAACTATATTTTGGGGGCAGAATGCACCCTGTCATAAATAAAAAATAGAAACAGATTTAAACAGAGTAATGGGAATTGTCGGAGGCAGCACGTGTCCAAATTTTGAAAGAGTGCTTTCTAGGACATCTTCGAAAGCATTCTAAGGAGAATTGAAGCATTTCTAAAGAAAAAAGGGGGCCTAACCCGATACTATAATAGCATACCTAATACAGTCACCGGTAAATGTAAATATACATACATATATATATATATATATATATATATATATATATATATATATATATATATATATAATTATATTCAGAATCCAGTACTTGTTTCGAAGCTTTTGTCAAACGTTAGATAGCTATATCGGTGGTCCCAGAAGAACTACGCATACGAATATGAAGATGGTGTAGAACGTTCGAATGAGAGCAAAAACGATGCCCGAAAAATAAATTTCCGAATAATGACTGAAAGCATCGGAAAGTTTAAACCTAAATAAAACAATTATCCTCAGCCGTTTATAAACAGAGGGAGACAGCGATGGAAGGATAGAAATATTTAATTTACATATTTTGACATTTGCATAGACCCATTGTGTATTCGTTATGACTTTTTTGTAACGCTATGTTCCTGTATCATAAATCGATGAACTTTTGTTCAAAAGTAAGGAAAAATGCATTAATTTATTTTAGTTCTTCAAAAAGGTCACATCAAAACCGAAAATTCTATTTTACCCAATAAGGGTAAAAACACAAAATATTACAGAAGCTTTATTTTTGCAGTGTGCTAATGATATAATTGGATAGTTTATAGCTATAGCTTAATACACAAATTTATAAATAAACAAAAACAAATTCTAGAAGTTTCCATAAAATAGGCCCCAGGAAGTTTTAGAATGCTCCAGAAAGTCATAGTACTGCTATACTTATATAAAATTTTAGAAATTTTGAGGTCGGGGTGGCATTTTAAAAAAATAAACTGAGTTAAACCATTCTTCATTATTTTTTTAAAAAAAAGTTCAACGAATTGTGATTTAGGAAATCAATTATTTTACAAAAAGTTAAAAAGTCATAACCCTAATGGGTTTACACATTTAAATTTTAATATAATTCAGAAAATAAGGTTGGAATAAATTAAAATCAGTCATAAAAATTGATTTTAATTACATAACGTAAAATAACCACAACAGCAATGGTAGTTGTAATTCACAATTACTTTATTCTTGTACCAACGAGATACAAACACAAAAATATACTTGGTCACTTGCCACTCAGCTATTTATATAACACAGGACGAAGTAACATGTCTGCCTGTGGAAGTCCTCCATTACCAAATGAGACCTTCCATTTTTGACTCTACACGCACCCTCCCTCCTCTGACCACAGAATGGAACGACGTGATTATTTGAAGGATTGCTCCAGAATATGTATGCGATTGTCCGCACATTTGTGGAGACAATGTTCGAGATGCTCGTGTGTTTCGACGTGGGCGTGGACTTGGGGCTGGTGTCGCCCGATATTAGTGTTCTCCAATATTATTTTGTCATCAATTTCCATTCCTTCTGGTCCATTAATCGCGGCATTTGGTTTATATTGTCCGATGGGTAATAAGGGATTATGGCCACTCGGCTGCTTATCACATACTGGAGGAGGTAACTTAAGTCTTCCATTATCTAATGAGACCTTCCATTTCTTTTCTTTCTTCTAATGTGCCATGTCCTTTCAGGACGTAGGTGATCATGGCTCTCCACCTCCCTCTATCCCTTGCAGCTCTCAACAAGTTACTTCCCCCTGTTACCTCACCCAGACCACGCTCTGTCATCCACTTGCTTAAGCCCGCTAGGTATGTCAGGCGTTGTTTTCCTCGTCTCTCTTTCACTCTATTCGACCCGTAAGTATTAGATTCTCCAGGCCCTCCTTTCTCATTATGTCTTCCAGAAACTTCGGCTGTCTCTTCTTGATGTTAAGTATAAGGCTCCTCCTTGTTTGCATCCTGATCTAAACATAATATATAAAATCTTATTTACAATAAAAATAAGAAACTTCATTAATAATTTAAATATGAATATCATGCTACTTCAGTCGTTCTAATATTGAAAGAACTTAATTTTTTATTCTCATATTGTTTATTTATTTTATTATTTATTTATAGCTTCCCCAAAAACCTACTGACGTTAGAACTGCCCGATTACATTAAAGTCCACAAGAAAATAATTCTATTACTGATATTTGGGGGATTTTATATAATTTTATAAAATATTTATAAAAAATAATATTATCCATATATCAAAATTTTTATAATATATATATATATATATATATATATATATATATATATATATATATATATATATAAATCCCCATATCCCAAATTTATTATGAAATATTTATAATATAATTTATAAAAGTATAAAGTCATAAGAAAATAATTCTATTACTGATATTTGGAGGATTTTTATATACACACACTTTTAAAAGAATCAAAAACATTTCATTTTATAATTTTATAAAAATTATCAACATATTTTATTATTATAGCTTCCCCAAAAACCTGCTTACATAGGAAATGCCAATTACATTAAAGTTCATTAGAAAATAATTCTATTACTGATATTTGGGGGATTTTATAAGTATAAAACTAGTCATATACACATGATTTTCTCTACATTGAAAACGGACCTTTTCGTCTGATTTTCCACTTGAGTTAATTTATAAGAGCGAACTTTGAAAGTAATGTACTGCCGACAGAAATTAAGGTCGTTTGTTTCCAGAAAATGTGTAGATATTAAATTAAATTTAATTTATGATGTTCGATCTCAAAATTATTTTGAGAAGAGCAGTGCTTGGTTCAATTGTGAGGTAATAAATGTGTCCCTGTATTGCTTAAAATATTTTTTTGAATAAAGAGACAAAAATAAATAACTCACAGTGAAGAAAATAACGAATAACATAAAAAGACTAGTAAAACGACTCATAAATAAGTCGATCACCAATTAAAATTAGTCTACCCTGAAAGCGCGCAGTAGAACAAATTTTAACAAACTAAGAGAGCAAATGTCAAGCGATTATTTCCCCTTCCACATTCCTGGCGTCTGTGTTTGCAAGTGTGTGACTGACAAGCTGATCTACGTCGTTCGTCACGTCATTCAAAATTGTTCAAGGGAAAGTAAGGGGACATAAATTTGCATTCAAGTACGAACTTAAAGAGTTTTCTCACAGACCATTGAATAAATTCGTCTGGTTTCTTCTCAGCAGGCAGTAGTGCCGAACGCCTACCCAAGAATTTGCTGCAAATGACACGTCACAAACATACGGCAATACTTCTTCGGGACCAGCCATTAATAAAGGAGATATTTCATCCACTGTATGTTAAATTGAGTTTTAGAGCCAATAAATCCGTGATACGTGATCGACCGCCATTTTGAAAATTTCTGGAAGCTAGTGAGTAGACTCGATGCTAGTTTAGTTTTCTTTCTGTCTTTTTCGTTTTTGATTCGCATGACGGACTTTGTGGCTTTTGCCATTCCGTTTCGGTGTAGGACTTGCACCGAAGAACCACATAAGACAAGAGATGGGAAAGCACTTAACCTTATTCGGCATTTCAACATCCGGGTAATTGGAGCATATATTACGGTGTCCAATCACCGTACAGATCAGACTTAAACCAAAATAGATAAGAAATGGTAACTGAACAGAAGGAAACTGAGAAAAAATGAACTATAATATTGTAGGAATCCTTCTACTCGGTTTTTTGTTGAATGTTAAAATTCGGAGTGCCGGGATTCGATACAATAACATAAAATATTTTTGCAGGACTGTCTGTAATTCGGCCGTTTAAAATAATTAAACGATTTTCATTGAAAAAGTAGAAAAAGACGTAATATCAACAAATAAACTTTAATATAGCGACAAGAATACAAGAAATTGGTTATAGATTAGAAAGTAACGTTTTTTTGTTTTGATTGATAAAGTTCTGGAATAGAATATAAATTGTATTTGCGTACGTATGTGAGAAACAAAGAAATGTTGTTATATATGTGTTTGTATGAAAGAGTCAGCATGTGTGTGCGTGTTTAATAGAAAAGGGGATACGGGAGATTGTTAGAATTTGGTTCTTACTGTGAACTGTGGTGCCGTAGTCTGAAGCGGTCGATTTGTAGTTCGTCAGTGCTGTTGCTTTTCGCATCTAGACATGAATGAGGTCGTGAAGATCAGCATCTAGAGTGACGTGGACCTTGGTGACATATGTGCATATCCCATTTTGGGCCGGACTTCGTGACTTTTATATACTTTTTCGTAAGAACATCAGCTCCAGAATTATATTATTTATTTCTTCTTAATTGGCCTTAAAAGAGTATGTCTTCTACTACGTCTGTACAACATTTTGGTGGTAACTACTTAAATCATGATGACTAATAAAACAACGTTTCTCATTTGTATTCTATCACTTTATTGGTGTGTTTTAAGATGTAAGCACTTTATTGAATGGCATTGGTTTATAAATATTGTATTGATATTTTAGTGGACACGTCAATATTATTTGCTGGGTGGGACAAAACTTTCATGCTATACTTTACTATTATTTCCTACGTTGGTAATGGAAGATTTATTTCGTTAAGAAATCTTTATTACGAACCAACAAACAAACCAACATCTAAATATTGGTAATAGTAATGATGAGAATAACAGTTTTCCTAAAAGAAATATTTTTCAGAAAAATCAACTTCTCAAGCTCTTGTTATCGCTCTTTCTAGTATTGATCGGAGTTTCCTTCCGAAAGTTTTTGTTGAAGGTGACGTGGAACATCGGCATTTTGTTTTCTTTGGCAATTATTTCTTTTCTAGTTACATGTGCTATCAATTTTACTTTCTGCTGCTGTTGAAAGGCGGAGAAAAAGAAGTAGCATGATGGTTACTGTTCTTTTCTTTGTAACGTGTCCCTTCTGGACGTAGGCGATCAAGGCTCTCCAAAATTCACTGTCACTTGTAACATTTTTTTTGTCATTTTTCCTAAACCTTGTGTCAGTATCCATTTACTCAAGCTTCTTAAGTAGATTATGCGTTGTTTTCCTCTGTCCCTCTTACCTTCAATCTATCCTGTGAGTATCAGATTTTCCAAGCCGTATTTCCTCATTATGCACGTTGGAAATTTCAACTGTCTCTTCCTGATCTTAAATATAAGTTTCGTTTTTATCCCCATTTTTTTTTTAAATTCTTTTTTTCTTATATGTTCGGTCTATGAATCGGTCTATGAATCGGTCTACGGAATCCCCCTGTAGAATTTCTACTGTCTCAAGTCTCCTCTTCAACTGTGAAGAGATTGTCAAGTATTCATTGCCGTATAGGCGGACTGATATTACCTAACAGTTAATTACTCTTTTCTTTGTTTCTGAAGAATTTTTTCCTGTTTCTTAATACTCTGCTCATGTTTCGAAATGGATGTTTGGCTATCCAAATACGCCTTGGGATTTCTGTGTCGCACTTTCCGTCCTCTGTTAAAACACTTTTCACATATTTCAATTTTTGTACTTGTTTGATTTTGGCATTTCCAAGTTGTAATTTACAAGTTGAGCTGGCCTTTTGCTTACAACCATGCATTCCGTCTTCTAGAAATTGATGTTTAGTCTTTTCTTCTCTCTTTTAATACAACTATTTTAAGTCAATGTTAAAGGCTATCAACAAGACATTTAACATTTTCTTTTTTGGATGAAATTTAATTCTTACAAATTTATTGCAAACAATTTAACTAAATTAATAAAATGTCATAAAACTAATAGAAAATGTTAAATCTATTTCATATTGGAAATAGTCTCACGATTTTCTTGTTAAGGTTTTATTAGGGGCGAATCAATGTCCGCATCCTAGCTACAGCAGTTGTATTTTTAACCTTATACATGCTCAAGTACGAGCTTGATAATGCGATAATTGTTGTTTCAATGTAGCAATGTCCCTATCACCATTACCAGCGCACTTTACAGAAAGCATACGAAGAATCGATCTTATGAGACCCTTTCGTGTTACTTCCCGTTCCTATAACCACTAAGATGATATAAAAAAGAGATTAGATCATCAGTTTTATGCCAATGCCAAACAACAAAAGCCAATAACTCCATTCCACTGATTCAATTATGGCGCCTCCCAGACTCTAGATTCTTTGGTGATAACTCAAACGATAACTTTATATGTCGTGACGTTAGTACTGTATGTCCTTCCGGCTAATTAATATTAGCGTCTACGGCCCGAAGTCATCTGAAATCTCTGTCACCCTTCATTTCATTTGCTTACACACATCTTACATACCGCTGGACTGAGGGTGTATCAAGAGGTGAGTGATCTCTGAGAGATTCTTTACGACAGGGGAAGGAAGTAGGATTTTTCAGATTTGATTTTTTGTTGATACTTGTACTTTTAACTCTTTTAACTAGGATTCACGCGTAATTAACAAATATATATATATATATATATATATATATATATATATATATATATATATATATATATATATATATGTCGAAAGAGAAAGACTGGATTCTTTTAAATCCTTTGCCTACTTCTGCCTTTATGAGAAACTGATAACATCACTTGTATTTTGTGGCTGACTTGCTGACTGGAAATCTTAATGAGTCGCTTTCTACTTCCATAGCTGTTTCTGATTACTTGATGCTGATATTGTGTGTATTCAAATGCACACATATATACATATAGGTATTCACTCAACAAACACTTATGAACATAAATGCGAGTGTTAGGACGCATAAAAAAAATATTGTTAGGTATGGAACGTATCTATGTGTGTATGAGTATGGCCTGTTTTTTTTGTGATTTTTTTTTTCATGTTATGTCCCTTTAGGGCGTAAACAACTATGACTATTCACACGTTTTTCTTTAATATCTATGAATTGCTATGTATTCTGGGGACAGGTACCCATTGCTTTATCTACGGTTTGTGATTCAAAACGTAATTCTAGTGTCACGCTTCCAATCATAAGGGAAAAGCCTTATTCAACGTTAAACAAATTGTTTGTATCGGATGATATAGATATGCAAACCTTTGTCTTTCGATGTTTCTCCTCCAGCTTGAATGATCATTTACAGGGATTAATTTTCTTTTGATTTCTTTTTTTATATGGTCTTTCTTTAGTGTTCAAGTATTCTATATATTTAAATAAATTTAATCTCATTTTTTTAAATTTATTTAAACTCAGAATTAGTTGACATCAATTTATTTTAACGATAATATATAATATATATATAATTATATAATACAACTAAAATCTTTTATAACCACCCGGAATGGCTTAACTGGTATATAAAACAAAAGACTTAAATTATCTGTTAACTTTTGTACAGCTAAATCTAATTTACAGTATTTTAGAAGTGAACGTTTGGTCAATTTCTCTTGGCATTAATATTTGAGGGATTCAAAAATGGTTTATTGATACTGCTGTAAATTTTGTACCAAAGTCCAAGTAAAGTATAGGGTGACCCCCCAAAATGGGAACTTTTTAACAATCCAATAAAACCAAGAGTGATGGAAGAAAAATATTTTATTCATAGTAATTGAAACCTTAAAACATGTCATTTAAGAAACAATGATGAAATTTTCATTTTTTAAAAATTACGTCCTGTAGATGGCGTCCTCCTCTACGAATGCATTCTTGAAATCTGCTGTTGACATTCCTCATTGACTGCTGCAACATCTCAGCTAGGATACTGTGAATTTCATCTTGAATTCTAAATGGCGAAATGTTTACTTGCTCAAGGTCACTGTCTCGCAGTGTTGCCACTAACTCATGTCTGGCAATACGCACTTCAAAAATTCCCGTTTTTTGGGGTCACCCTGTATTAGGCTATTAATCAGCTGGAAACGATATGAGATTAGGAAAATGGAAAATGAGTTCAGATATAAAAAATTTCAAATAATTTAATGGACATTCTTAAAATAGAAACGTTTATTGTAATTGCGTATATCATTTAGATAATATTAACCTTCTATAGGATTTTGGATGTATTTGCTAGATTTTGTTTTTCTATTTAATGTTTTTGTATTTAATTTTTGTAATTTTGTATTTAATATTTTGTATTTTATTATTTTGAATTTTATTATGATTTTTTTCTTTTAATGTTTTGTATTTTAATATTTATTATTTTGTTTTCGTATTTATTGTAGAATCTAAAATGCAACTCAATTCGAATCTTTATTTTGTAGTTGCAAGTACCAACGCCAGTTAAAAGGGCTTTCGAGGATATATAAATATAAAGATTGAAAATTGCAATAAAAGAAAACAATATAATATAATATACATAATACTGCAGTTTTAATACTACTGTTTCTTGGTCTATTTCAACTCTGACCATTAATTTATTATTATTATTTTTATTTTTATTTTCTTTGATTTCTGGCGTTTACACATTTCTTTCCGGGTTCCGCCCAGGGACCTAAGGTTAGAAATGGCGTCATGACACTTTCCACTGACAAAAAAAAAAAAAAAAAATTAAATTAAATTACATAGATAAAGCCCTTCGTAAGGTGTGGGCTGTACTTGTCAGAACACTTTTTTGTATCTCCTTGAGGCATGGACTTCCAGGAATCCCTTCAATTAGTCTACTGCAATCTTTTCCAACCAGTCCTAGGGCTCCAACTACAACAGGGATTGTTGATGTTCCCATATGCCACATATTATTATTATTATTATTATTAATTTTATATAACAAATATAACAAACAAGTTATCAGTGAAGGATTTAGTTGTGCTTTGTATGGATGGAACTCTTTAAACCGCACAAACTTTTAAAATATATTTCACAAAGTTAGCAGAAAGGTAAATATACTTTTGTGTTTTTTCATTGCTAACTTTCAAACTTTTCTGCCAAAGTGACATGAATTTTTAGTACTTAATGCTACTTTGTAGTTTGTCAGTGCACTCTTAAGATAACTTCACATATGGCTTAATTTTCCTGCTTTACTCAAGCAAAACCTTATACAAGCTTATTCTCTCTCTCTCTCTCTCTCTCTCTATCTATCTATCTATCTATCTATCTATCTATCTATGTGTGTGTGTGCGTGCGCGTGTGTATGGGTGTGTATTTGGTCTTAATGAGATTGTGGGTAGCGTACTAAGAATATAGAGGCAGACACGAAAACAAATTACTACTACACTAACTCCAACCACATCATGGCTAAAAGACTAAATAAGTTCCAATGAACTAATCTAATAAATTTGATTTCAAATACCAAAATATAGAACCGAAGAAAATACAGAAAAGAAAAATGTAAAAGAATCTGAAAAATAAATGAAGTATGTAAATTATTAGGATAAGTAATATTAAATAAATATATAAATCCCTTCCCATAAGCCCTTGTAACCTATTTATAAGTGGAATAACATTTGGCTTGAAGATTGCACTGAGTATTTATCATTTCAACCACGGGAAACGAATATGGCACAAGGCCGGTTTTATTGTGGGTATCCCCGAGCCCGTAGGCTCGGCCAAAAAAATAGACTTTGAAGCCGATTAGACGGGTTCAGGCCCTGTCTACCTCCCCGGACGAAACCTTGCCCTTCGGCAAAGCCTCGTCCAGGTTCCTCTCTGCTTACGCAGAGAGTTCGACAGGAGGCGTGCGCAGTCAAAGAAGATTGTGACAAACTGACAACCACCATGCAGTATTGAGTTCACGCTGCCTATATCTTATCACCGATAGTTAAGCCCACTTTCTCTATAAATGTAGCATATGTTAAACAATATATATATATATATATATATATATATATATATATATATATATATATATATATATATATACCGGGTATGAGAGCAAAATTGTCCAAATCGTAAGAACAAAATTGTCCAATTGTTAGATTAAGATTTGAAACGTTGTATTTAAAAATGACTAAAGATATCTTACTGAAATTCTCCGAGGTTTTTATAACACTATTAGACTCTACAATAAGAATATATAATTACTCTCCAAGTTTAACAGAAGAATCGTGATGAAATCGATCGTAAACGAAAATGACACGTTCATCATTAATTAGTCATAGCTAAGGACCGGAAGCTCATGAAGGATTGGAATATATATATATATATATATATATATATATATATATATATATATATATATATATATATTATTCCAGGATTATTTTCCAACTTATTCAAGATGATCTTCGTCCTCTCTGACCTTCTAACTTTCTGTCCTGTAATAACAAGTTGCCTCACACAATTTTGATTTTTCAAGTTTTGGACAATTTTGCTGTTACACTTGGTATATATATATAAAATTAGAAAATGTTGTTTGACATTGGTGATCTCCGAATGTTTTGTCTCGCTCACTTGATACCAAAACTTACTGTATAACGTTCAGCTCGGAATTAAGAGTTTTTAATCATAGACATTTATTTTTTTACTTCCTGCTATGCTGTGAATATCAATTATCTTTTTTATATCATCACTAATGACTGCCCAAATTTGGAAACTAAGAAAATCTCTAAAATCGCTAAAACGTTAGAAATTCACTTCGAAATCTCTACTCTGTTAATCTATCAACCGAATTTTGTTTAAGCCGCGACAAGTTATTTTTGAGTCATCTGACTGACTCACAAAAATATCGATTAAATAACCCACTTGCACCTTATAAATCTAATATGCAACATAACCATCCTAACTAGGAATGGATTAAAATAATTCTTGTATTAATAACATTTTGTACACAGCGCATCAAGGTGAAACGATCACACTATAGAACCAGCTTGCTACGAATCGACAGATAGTGCTCGACTCTTCCTTATTAATATAAAATTTATATAATTATTTAATTCTACTTTCTTTTCTTCATTGATATATTTTAAATTCATTGTCTTAGTCACTTGTCACTCTCACATTTCTTCCCAACATTCTCAATAAAATTTCATACAATTCAGCTCTTAAAACTCTAAAATGAATATTATTAAGCAATATGGCGTGTACGGTAAACATATAGTCACAGGCAAAACATCCAATTTACATGAGATAATCTAACAGTTTTATTATACATACAAGATGTTTACACTAACACACCTTGAATCTCTTCTTTGAGTAGCAAATACATTCACTATGCTTATTGATATAAACTTCCCATTACTTCTCCAGATCGCATTCACCTATCCATTCTACTTCTTCTTTACTTCCGTTACATAAAATATCGGCTCAATCAGATTGTAGTTGACACATGTACAATTCTAACCTTGGTAAAACCCGAAACCAAAACAGTTTATAAAGCAAATACGTTTTGATATTTTCGATTTTGAACTGGGACGGAATACTCTCCCTAAAAGGAAACAATCGAGCATTAGTAAATACAAACGATACGGTGTGAGTACTTCCGTTTCCGGAGCTGTTAACTTTGCACCATTTTTTTTTATATCCGCCATTTGTAGTCTTGTTCCGCTTTTTTGTATAAAAACATCGACAATTGATGGTGTGATGTTTTTATTATGGGTTGCGGTTTAAGGATAGAGTAAACGAATTGAAAGAGACTATAAAGGTCGGAGTTAAATCAGAAAAAATATCTGCAGACAAGGACGATGGGATAGGACAGAGAAACAAAAACATGGAGGGTTTAAAAAGAGTTGGTGTAAATATGAGTAAATGTGAAAGAAATGTAAGAGAAGTAAGAATGGATAGAGCATAGTTAAGTCTGATCATATACACGTGTCCAAACATACGTGGAGGTGCTGAAAATTTATTGGTTCGACATACTTTCTAAAATCCTGATCAAATGAGCAAACATAAGAATTTTTAAAATCCCTTCTTGGTATAGCTGTGATATTTTTTCTCAAAGTTTCATCGATCTATTAAAGTTACTTAGTGGCGAAGATAATTGCGCGTATCCCTTTAGTTTTTGACGTTTGTGTTAGCGGAGAGGTAATAAATATAAAGAATCAAGGCAAACAACCAGATACCACTTCATAGAAAAGTTTGACGCAACGCAATTTTCTATCTATCTATCTATCTATCTATCTATCTATCTATCTATCTATCTATCTATGTCACTGTATTCATATCTATCTATCTATCTATCTATCTATCTATCTATCTATCTATCTATCTATCTATCTATCTATCTCAGTGTGTTCATATCTATCTATCTATCTATCTATCTATCTATCTATCTATCTATCTATCTATGTCACTGTGTTCATATCTATCTATCTATCTATCTATCTATCTATCTATCTATCTATCTCTGCCGCTTATTGACATATCATGTCGAATGCACCTGATGGAAAGTCATGCACAAATAAATCTTCTAGATATTAACTATCACATACGTAGACACACACACACACACACACACACACACACACACACACACACACACACACACACACACACACATATGTGTGTTTGTGTGTGTGTAAAAACATGAAAGCGTTTCAGAGTGTCATTGTTTCCTCATCATTTTCCCACTTATGGTAAGCGACTCCTTTTCTGTTTGCTCGAAACTTTTGCGACGAGCTGTGGCATTTCTTGCGAAGATCTTCACATTCCATTCGTCTATTTCAACAAAATTGGCACCAGCCGCGAAATGTAAAAACAAATATAGAAACAAGTAAAGCTTTCTGTTGGTTAAATACTCAGACGAACTTGACTAAATAAGCTTTCTAGGTGCCTAACTCCTAATTTTCTTTCTCTCTGTGTGTAGAGATAATCTTTGTGGGACATCTTTCGTTGAATAGTCATGTACTCAGAGAGAGAGAGAGAGAGAGAGAGAGAGAGAGAGAGAGAAAGAAACTATTGGGTATAAAAATATTAGAACAAAACAACTGATATTTTAATCCTCAAAGATTTTCACAAAATTATATATACTCGCTTATGTCAAGAAAATGTTCTAATTTGACGTTCCTTAGCGTAACGTTTTCCACTGATATGAAGTGGAAAGATTATATTGAATCTATTGCTAGGTCTGCTGCTGGGAAAGTTGGTTTACTTTCTCATACTAGATATTTTTTTCTCGACAGAATGTATCTTACATATTTATAAGTCTACCTTTCGCCATGTTTTGAATATCGCTCCCGCATGTCGTCTGGTGCTTCTGCTATATATATTTTCTTAATAAAATCCAAAGAAGAGACTGCAATGTTATTGGTTCTAACCTGCCATCTCGGATCAGTCACTTTCTCATCGCCGTAATGTAGCTTCCATGTGCCTTTTCTATAAATACTTTCATAGTAATTGTTTTGATGATCTTTGCTCTTAAATACCTACACGTCATGAATTTAAGCGCAATACTAGACTGGCGGCAAGTTCTCATCATTTTACAGTTGAAATGGGTAGATGCAACCATAAGTCTATCTAACAGTTAACAGTTTCTTCTCTTGCGTTTCTCACTTGTAGAACTCTCTTTGATCTTCAAAAAATGAAATGCAATGTAAATCGCTATCGTCTCTCATCTTAATTCTTTTATTGTTCTTTCTCCTTAACAGTGTTATTCATATTCTCTAACACTCAGAAACCACTTGCATCTTAGTGGCTTTTTTTTTTGCTTTGTTTGGGGTGAAATGTTTAAAAAGAAAAATAGTAACTAATTTCAATGAATGCATTGGTTCTGATCATCATTGGTATTACTATTTATTTTTTTTAAAAAATATGTAGGTATTTCAAAATTCTAATTTCTCATCAACAGTTTAAACCACGTGAATGACAAAAAATTTGAACATATCTAAAAGTTCCGAACACTTCTGGCTTCTGAATACTACATATTGAATGAACTGTTGAAAACCAATTTTGAGTGTTCTTTATGCAGTGTTAATTTATTCTATTCAACACAGTGTTCTCCTCATCTACCGGTACCCTTCTAGATGATGAGTGCACTTGAGTCGGAATCTCGATCCGTCTTGGGCTCAAATTACGTGAGCGTCACAGATGCAGATGTGGAGCTTGCATTGATGAATTTGGTTTGCATGCTCTCTTGTCCGCCGTAGTGCAACCGTTTTCCAAGGCATGCTGCAATAAACGAAATCATCAGAAGAGGTCTAGATGCAGCTGGGTTCTCCTTCCAAATCCAACCCGTAGGCCTCGACCGTGGTGATGGAAAGCGGCTGGATGGCATTATCATTTTCCCTTTTAAAATGAGGAAGTCGTTGATTTGGGATGCAACCTGTACTGATACATTTTCGACTGGTAATTTTATCAGGTCCTTTTTTAATTCTTCGCTTATTAATATTATTCTCTTTCGGTATTAAACTAAAAAACCTTAAGAAACATACTGTAATTACTGGGCTACTTCGTCATCTACGTGTCGTGTCCCTTCAAGACATGGTCGATCGTACCTTTCCACAACTTTCTATCCTTTGTCGCTCTTATTAAGGTTTGTAGTTTCGTTCCTTCTGCCAATTCCCATTCTGATAAACATTACCACAAGCTTCCCAGGTCTCTTTGCTTGCGCCTCTCTCTCTCTCTCTCTCTTGCTAGGTGTTGTGAGTGTCGTCAGATTCTTATGCCCTCTTTCCTCATTTTGTGTCCTAGAAATTTCAACTTTTTCTTTTTCTGATTCCAAATATCAGCGTCCTTCTTGTTTTCATTTTCTTTAAAACATCTTCGGTATTCACAAGTTCAGTCAATGTGATTCTCAGCATTTTTCAGGAAGTAGGCGATTATAGCTTTCCCAAACTTCCTACCTTTGTAGCTCTTAGTAAGGTTTGTCCGATTGTTATCTCTCCCAATCCTTGTTCTGCCATCCATTTACACAGGTACTTTATGTAGGTTACTCGCAGCTTTCCATTGACCCTCCTGCTTTCAATATGTCTTGTGAGTGTCAGATACTCCAAGCCATCTTTCCTCATTATGTGATTATAGGATTTTTATCTCTTTCTGATTCTAAATATAATAGTCTGTTTTGTTTCCATTTTCTTTAAAACATCGTCGGTACTCCCTGATTCAGTCGATTGGTTTCTCTGCGTTCTCGGCCTGATCTGGCTCTTTTAAAGGTAGAGAATAGCAGGAGGCCTCAGGTGCGTTACAGAGAACCGGCAATTTTTCATCATTATGTTCTAGAAATTTCAACTGTTTCTTTCTGATTCTAAGTATCTATGTGCCGTGTCCTTTCAGAATGTAGGCGATCATGGCTCTCCACCTCCCTCTATCCCTTGCAGCTCTCAACAAGTTCCTTCTTTTTCCCCCCCTCTCCCCTCCCAGACCACGTTCTGTCTCCCACTTGCTTAAAGCTGCTAGGTATGTCGTGCGTTGTTTTCCCTAGTCTCACTTTTCCTCTATTAGACCAATGAGTATCAAATTTTCCAGGCCCTCCTTCCTCATTATGTGTCCCAGGAAATTTAGCTGCCTCTTCCTGATGTTAAGTATAAGCCTCCTCTTTGTTTGCATCCTCTCCAAAACATCGTCGTTGCTCACACGCTCGGTTTAGGATATCCTTAGCATCCTTCTGTAGAACCACATCTCCGTCGCGTCGAGTCTTTTCTTCTTCTTCGAGGAAAGTGTTCAACATTCGCTGCCGTAAAAAAGGACAGATGTCACGTACAAGCGTCCATTTTCTTTCCGTTTTCCTTAAAACCTCCTCGTTAATCACATGTTCAGTCGATGGGATTCTTGACATTTTTCACTAGAACCATATTTCTGTTGCATAAGGTTTCTTCATCTTGTCCAACATCACTGATATAGAGGAAGGCTGATATTACGTGACATTTCTTTGTTTCTAACAAAATTTTCTTGCTCCTTAATACTTTGCTTGACTTTTGCAAGGCATTATTCACTATCCAAATGCACTTTCGGATTTCAGTATCACATTTTCCGTTCTCTGATGAAACACTTTCGAGATATTTACTTTCCGTATTTCCGATAGAGTAGCTAGAGTCTTGCGACGTTGCGCCTGTGGGAAAGGCGTTGTAAGGTTGAAAACAACTCATCACCCACAAGGCCGCGTAAATGCTTTTGAACTATCGAAACTGAAAAGTGAAAACTGGGCAGCTCTTGCCCATATATGTCAGCAGCACTCCATTCTCGGTCTGATCTGATTCTTTTAAACTTAGAGGATAGCAAGAGGATTCAGGTAATTACTGGAGCGTTATAGAAAACTGGACATGTTTCCTCATTATTCCCTAAAAATTTCAACTCTCTATTTCTGATTCTAAGTATGAGCGTCCTTTTTGTTTCCATTTTCCTTCGGTTTCACATGGAAAATAAAAACACCTGATCTATCATCCATGATCTCGTGTATTGTAAGTAGCGAATGGTGGAGTAACCGTTTGTTTCCAAAATTGTCGGCATTCTTCTACTAAAAAGAAAGTGAGGCACACATTTTGGTGATATATATATATATATATATATATATATATATATATATATATATATATATAGAGAGAGAAAGAGAGATGAATAAAGGAATGATGGCGGGGATGAAAGAAAGAAAAGTAAACATGAAAATTTCTACTTTATGTTCATCTTGTCCGTTGCTTTTAACCAGGAGAGTCTTATATTTTTTTGCCAAATTCCGTCGGCAATCCCCATCAAACATATGTGAATGCTCAGAGCAAACGACAAGGAAAGAGTCTCCTACATTAAAACGTCACTTCACATATGGTTTTTAAGGTGTCGGTCTCCGATCTGTCGGCATTAAAATGCCTATCCATTACTCAGAGTTGACAATCGAAAATTGTTGCAATTTGTTTGATGGTTTAAACCCCACCCTGCACAAATCTGTCACTTTACATTATATTATCCGCATGTTTTTGTTTTTCAACTCGTGTGTCTAGTTGTTATCACTGTATCTGAGAAAATTGTAAAGACTAACATCTTGATCTTTGTTGGTTTATTTTGTCATAGTATTTTAAAGCAGTTGTCATTTACTACATATACACGCTCGTGTGGGCTCTTGAATACGTGTAGGCCTATATACATTCAACTAAGCACTTAGAGTTTCGTTCGGGCATGAATTTCTTTAGCTTCAAGCTTACTATTTAGAAACATAACAAAACCAGTCAAAAACACACGAATAACTGAAATAGCTTTTATTATGAATACATAATGACGATGGAAAAGTAAAACATGAGGAAGACTGCAAATGACAAACTGGACAGCATAACATCGCCAATGGAAATCCGTAGATTTTTTTAGACATGGAAACTATGCTATTCGTGTTACATATATATTATTCAGTGAAGGATACAAAACGCAATAGTACTTATATTTTATGTGCCGTATCCCTTCAGGACGTGGGCGAGCACGGCTTTCCAACAGTTCCTATATTTTTGTAGCTTGAAGGCTTACG